CGCACTAGGCATGAAAAACCAACCCGAGCAACGGGGCCAATTTTCCGAGCCACGCACACACGCGCGCGTCTCGTCCTCGTCCTCGTCCTCGTCCAAGTCCCAAGTCCCAATCGCGACATTTCGCGTCATTTCGCGCCGCGTTGCTTTTGCCCAAGGCAAAAATCACGTCGGATTGCGCCGTCCGTGACCACGACCGTCGCACCGCGCACCCCGATAAAATTTTGATCTTCGACCAACGGACGATTCGATGACGGGAACGCCAAAATTTGACATGATTTTGCGGCAAAACTTCGATCGCAACTCCCATGCCCCGCCGCCCGAACGTCCGTGACCAGGTCGGGACGAGCCACTCGGCCGGGCACGGGCACCGCAAAATTTTAGCAAATTTTTTTCTTCGCCCAAAGAACGATTCGATGGTTGGAATGCCAATATTTTATTGGGTTGTGCGGCAAAACTTCGATCGCAACTTCGATTCCGTCGACGGGACCATCCGTGGCATGCCACGGACCTTCCGTGTGGCCGGCACGGGCACGCAAAATCCAGCCAAATTTTGAATTTTTTTTATCAAGAACGCTCGATTCGATGATGAAAATTCGATATTTGGATTGGATTTTGTGCGGGGGGTTGATGGATTTGCCATTGGAATCGTTTGGAACACCCATGGGCATGTTCCGTCTAGGCAGCATGTGGCCTGGCCTGGGCGTGGCCTGGCCTGGGCGTGGCAAGGCCCCAGGCGGACCAGGCAAGGGCCTCCCCCTATATATGTTTGAACTGAAATCCTCACTTTGCCACCAAATTGGTCCCTTTTTCCCTGTAGACATAAATTTCTAGTTTGATGACTTAGACTTCGAATTTTTTCTTGATTTTTTGCATGCTCTTTAAACACAATATAAGAACCCCTCCCACCAAAAATTAGAATTTTTCGACTTCGGATGAATTAATTATGAATTTTCTAAGCGCCGGATTTTCAAGAACGGGAGCGGAGGCAAACGCGCCTTAGGAATGGAATTTCCCGATGATTTTTTGCATGGACATCTCAAATAACACATAGAAGGGATCTGCAAAGTTTCGTAGCGTTTCGATAACGTCTCGATTTATTTTGAATTTTCGTCCGAAACGCGTGTAATTGAGTTTTTTTCAAGGGGCGGAAGCAAACAAACGTCGGGCTACGGAATGAGTTCCGGTCTGGAATTTTTCATGCATTAATCTGCCACCAAATTGAGATGGCATGCCAAGTTTCATGCCATTCGGGGCGATCCCTCGATATATTTCGGCTTTTCGCGTGTCGGGCCCCCGTGCGGTTTTTCCGACGGGAGCGGAGGCAAACGCGCCTTAGGGGAATAATCTCCCGATGGATTTTTGCATGCACTTCCCAAATAACACATTGAGAGTGTCCAAGGAGTTTCGTAGCGTTTCGACAAGCCCTCGGTCTACTTTCAATTTCCGACCGGAACGCGTGCGTGTGCGGTTTCTCCATGAACGGGAGCGGAGGCAAACGCGCCTTAGGGGAATAATCTCCCGATGAATTTTTGCATGGAAGTCCCAAATAACACATAGAAGGGATCTGCAAAGTTTCGTAGCGTTTCGACAATTTTGAATTTCCGGCCCGAACGGGCCCCCGTGCGGTTTTTCCGACGGGAGCGGAGGCAAACGCGCCTTAGGGGAATAATCTCCCGATGGATTTTTGCATGCACTTCCCAAATAACACATTGAGAGTGTCCAAGGAGTTTCGTAGCGTTTCGACAAGCCCTCGGTCTACTTTCAATTTCCGACCGGAACGCGTGCGTGTGCGGTTTCTCCATGAA